AACGAGGCTGGGTTTGGAATCAAATGTTTGTCCTGGAGGAGTTTTCTGGACCGGAACCGATTCTTGTTGGCCGGGTAAGCTTTCGTTTTTTAAGATTCCCAAGTTCATGATCGGTTCTTTGTCTTTAGATCTTAAGGGCAGACGTGTCACGGTTGCTGACACACTTCACTGTGAGCACTTTCTGCCCGATGGTTAGTGAGTTTACCTCTTGGTTTCTTTGGGAATAGGGCGGATCTCCTGGCCACAGTTTTAAATGTAGACACGCTGCTCTTCTGGGGAAAGTTCTTCTCTCCCATGCCTTCCATCCCACCATAGATACAATAATAGCCCTTGTGTAATACACACACACACACACACACACACACACACAGATTGTCTTTCTCGTTTCATACAAGGTGTCCGTACGCCAAACCTCTAACTTCCAGTGCCTGTTTTGCTCAGTTTGAATGTATATTGCCTTGATTCCTAAAATGTTGGGGGGTTTTTTGTTTGTTGGTTTCATTTTATTTTGAGGCCATGTTTCTCCAATTTCAGGTTGAGTTTTCTCCCTTTGTTTGTTATTTGTGTCCATCATTGACCTAGGATTCAGAAAGGGAAACCCCTCGCATGGATGCTGAACGGTGCTCCGTACGTACTGTGATTCAGTAAACTTGGCAGTAGAACCTGCTTCATTCATCATCAGATGGGATGAAATCTATAGAAGCAAAATTGGAATATCGTGGCGTGCGTGCCTGCACATGTGAGACAGGGTGTACATTTGTGCTGTTGTTGTTGGCGGGTTAGACAAGTGTTTCTTGTGCGGATCAGGGCTGCCTGCTCTCCATGGTCACACGGGGGTTGCTGAAGACTGAACATGTTTGTTCCTCAGAACCGTTCATAAGCTCCTGTTCATTTTGACACAGACCATCATCGTCCGTAGAATTCCAGGTATGAGCCTGGCAATGGCTGATTGCCCTGATAAGTCAGATTCGGAAGTGAATCATGCCGATGTTATTTGTTTCCCAAATGCGAGGTTTGAAAGGAAAAAAAAACAGGAAGGGAAGTAAAGGTGGATCTTTGAAACGTAAAGTTAACGCTCTGTTCCTCTGGAACTTCTGCTGGCTTTCCTGCTTCTGCCTGGCAAAGCAAAGCGAGCCTCTTCAGGGATTCTTGTCTCATTTCCTATAGTAGTTCCACCTGGACAGAGGAAACCTGGATGAGGAGCTGCGAATCATCCAAACACTATTTACTGAGCCCTCTCTATGTGGCCAGCGCTCTCTTAGGCATATCCATGGTGTGGGGGTGGGGGGGATCAATGAGCAAAGCAGTGATCCCTGTCTTCCAGGACCTCACCTTCTGGCCAGTATTGGGTGTTTTCTGTACCAGTGTTGCATGCTCTCAGGAAAGCACTTTGTGGACATAATCCTATTCTAACAGTAATTCCTTCCCCCTCGCTCTATGTGTATGTGTACACGTGTATACCTTTCTTTCATAAGTCCATAAGGCAAAAATCTCTAAAAGATTTTGTTTTTGCATGCTTGGTATAAACTCAGGTAGCAGAACTGGCTGGGAGCTGTTTAGAGTCATAATGCATCCCATTACTGTGCCTGTTCATGTATTTCCCAGCAGAAATGTTAATGTGTTTGATAACAGGGTGCGCCCCAGACCCTGCTGAGGGTCTTACTTACTGAACAGTTTTTACGTCTTAACATGCTTCTAAATGTGACAAATTCTGAGTTCTGAAACACTTCTTCCCCGTGGGTTTTGAATATGGGCTTCTTGAGCAGAACCAGGTTTGGGGTTTATTTTTTGTAAGTGCAGGACCTGAGACCTAGATGGATTAATAAAGCAAACCAAGATCACAGAGCTAGCGAGTGATCTGAGTTTGAATCCGGTTGGAGATCCCCAGGGCCATGATTTTATGCACCCTATTCTGTTATACCTTAGTAACTAGCTGCCACGTGTTTAAACTGTAATTTGAACTTAAGAGTTATTGAGCATAGCCCTGGCCTGTGTGGCTCAGTCGATTGGGCACTGTCTATGCACCTAATGGTTGCCTGTTCCATTCTCAATCAGGGCACATGCCTGGGTTGCTGGCTCCATCCCCAGTAGGGGGCGTGCAGGAGGCAGCGGATTGATGTTTCACTCTCACATCGATGTTTCTCTCTTTCTCCCTCTCCCTTCCCCTCTCTCTAAAAATAATAACAAATTAAACATAGATGCAGAATCCTTACGTTCTTACTTTCTGGGTATTTAGAACTGCTTTAGCCAGCTGCATGGCAAGTCGTTTCGTACCATGTGAAATTCTGGGTAATTTCATACCTGCATCATTGATAGATATCGCCTGCCTGTTTCTATTAGTTAACTCTTTATGGAAGTGTATCACACTGATGGCATCTTGTATAATATAAATAAACAACCATGCCCTGCTGAAAGAACTTTCCACTTTGGTCTGAATAGAAAAAGTAATTATATAGGATTTTGTTTTGGACTCATAGAATCTGATAGCTAATCCCACCTCCTTTCTTGAAATAAGGTAATAGAGGCATTCGGCACCATTGTGACTCAGTAACACTCAAGAAATTCATGTTTTTTTGCCGAAACCGGTTTGGCTCAGTGGATAGAGCGTCGGCCTGGGGACTGGAGGGTCCTGGGTTCGATTCCGGTCAGGGGCGTGTACCTGGGTTGCGTGCACATCTCCAGTGGGAGATGTGCAGGAGGCTGCTGATCGACGTTTCTCTCTCATCGATGTTTCTGGCTCTCTGTCTCTCTCCCTTTCTCTCTGTGGAGAATCAATGAAATATATTTTTTTTAAAAAAAGAAATTCATGTTTCTTTGAGTGACAGAAAGGTGGCTAACGACCCCCCAGGACTTTGAAAGAGCTGACATGCTCCTGCTCCTTGATGACTGTTTCTATTAATTAACTTGTCCTGCTCCCTTCCCCGGCCATTTCCCAAACAATTGCAAATTCAGAGTTAAGTCTATTTTCTGAAGAATGTTTCCACAAACATTGCCAATCATACCTATTTCTCCTTTAAGGGGAATGGCTCCTGAATTATTCCAGTTTAGCCTTTAAGGATCTGGGATTGTAGAAAAGCCAAAAATACACATCAGGGACCGCTCCTGATTACAAGGCAGGCTGAGTGTGGGGATGATCCGTGTCAGGATGCCCGCTGGGGCTTCATGGCGTTTTAGCTCTGTGCGCACTCTTCCACATCCCACCCCAAACCACTGTATCGCTGAACCTCTCCCCAGGAGCTGGCTTAGGAACCTTCGTCAATCCTCAGCACACCTGCTCTTTGAAAGACCCTCCTGCCAGTCACCATGGTGAGGGCCTTGGGCCTGGCTGACGGAGTTCAAGCTCAAGGGCAGAGCAGTGTTGGAGTGATTGACTCTCCACCTATCCCCTTACATGCTTGCCTTACACCACCATTGTCTACGTTTACTATATCAGTAGGCAGCTGGATGCAGAGATAGAGCTTGGCCTTAGAGATGCACTCTCCAGAGATTTGAATATTGGCTTGGACACTTTCTGGCTCTTAACATTAGGGAAAATTAATAAAACTCTTCAAGAGTTATCCAACTTGGCCCTAGCCGGTTTGGCTCAGTGGATAGAGTGTTGGCCTGCGGACTGAAGGGTCCCAGGTTCCATTTCAGTCAAGGGCACATGCCCAGGTTGCGGGCTCCATCCCCAGTAGGGGACGTGTAGGAGGCAGCTGATCAATGATTCTCTCTCATCATTGATGTTTCTCCCTTCCTTTCTGAAATCAATAAAAATATAGTTTAAAAAAAGAGTTTTCCAAACTGGATAAATAAGAGTATATAAGAATAAATAAAAGAATGTATGCATAGTGCCTACAAGTAATTAATTATTGTATTGATGATTGCATTAATTATACAAGTGTGTGTGTGTGTGTGTGTGTGTGTTTGGAGCGGTGGACAAACTGACGATGACAGCGCTAAGTAAGCCCAAGACTCTGGGAGCGCAAATAAGAGCCCTTTTAGGTGGCTTAGATGAAGGGAATTTTAGGTGTATACTGAAGGGTGACACCAGTTAGCCTCGTGGGGTGGGGTGGAGTGGGAAGCTAGGTGCCCTAGTTGGACAGAAAGGTTTATGTAATGTTACAGGGACAGGGTAGGACTACTGAGGATCCCCTGCGTCAGAAGCAATGTAAGCCCATATATTTCCTGTTGAATTAAAATGAAGTTGATTCCACAAATAAGTGAGATCATGTGATATTTGTCTTTCTCAGTTTGGCTTATTTCACTGAGCATAATATTTTCCAGGCCTATCCATGCGGTGCCAAAGCATAAGAGATCCCTACTTTGTTACGGCTGCATAGTATTCCATCGTGTAAATGACTGACAGCTTTTCTATCCATTCTTCTACTGATGGCACTTGGGCTATATCCAAATCTTAGCTATCTGTATATATGAAAGCCTAAGCAACCGAACAACCTGTCGACTGGTTGCTATGACGCACACTGACCATCCGGTGGCAGATGCTCAACTCAGGAGCTGCCCCCTGGTGGTCAGTGTGCTCCCACAGCCAATCTCCCACAGCCCTTACCCCTGCTGGCCAACCTCCCACAGCCCCTCCCCCTGATCAACCTCCTTCGGCCCTGATCAGCCCCAATCGCTGACCAGGCCAAGGGATCCTACCTGTGCACGAATTTGTGCACTGGGCCTCTAGTTGTAAACAATGCTGCTGTGAACATAGGGGTACATATATTCTTTCTGATTGGTGTTTTGGGGTGGTTAGGATATATTCCCAGAAGTGGGATCGCTGTGTCAAATGAAAGTTCCATTTTTAATTTTTGAGGAAACTCCATATTGTTTTCCATACTGGTTGCACCAATCTGCATTCCCACCAGCAGTGAACTAATGTTCCCTTTTCTCCACATTCTCACCAGCACTTGCTCTTTGTTGATTTTTTTGATGATGGCCTTTCTGACAGGTGTGTTATCTCATTGTGATTTTAATTTGCATTTTTCTGAAGAATAGTTACTTCGAGCATTTTTTCATGTGTCCCTTGGACGTTTGTATGTCCTCTTTAGAGAAATGTCTATTCAGGTCTTCAGCCCATTTTTTAATTGGAATCTAATGAACAAAATGAATTGACCAACGAAGACCTGAAGCAGGGAGGCATGTAACAGACTGACATACCTCAATGGGTTGAGGGAAGGAGAAGAGATAAACCAAAGAACTACTTACTAGAGGCCTGGTGCATGAAATTCATGCACTAGGAGGGGTCCCTCAGCCCTGCCTGCGCCCTCTCGCAATCTGGGAGCCACCACTGCTGCCCTCACCAGCCGTGAGCCTGGCTTCTGGCTGAGCAGCACTCCCCCTATGGGAGCGCACTGGCCACCAGGGGGCAGCTTCTGCATTGAGCATCTGTCTCCTGGTGGTCAGTGCATGTCATAGTGACTGATCAGTCCACTGTTCGGTTGATTTGCATATTAGCCTTTTATCATATAGGATATACATGGACCATGGACATGGGCAATGGGGTGGTGAAGACCTGGGGGTGGATGGATAGGGGCTGGGAGAAGGGGGGAATGGGAAATATCTGTAGTATTATCAACAATAAAAAAATATTTGAAAATGAAAAAAAAAACAAAAATAAATTAAATAAAGGAGAAAAAAGAAGAAGCTGGAAACCATATTCAACAGAGCCTTCCCTGTCCCATTCTGTCTCAACTGTAACTGTCCCATCTCTAATATTTCATGTCCTTGGGCTATGCTTTTTGTCCTTCAAGATTACCATTATCTCACATACTCTATTCTTTATCTCGTTTATGACTTGTCTTTTACTAGAATACAAATTCTACAAAGAACAATTATTTTTGGTTTCTTTTCTTCTTCACTATATATCCCCAGGTCTTAGATGACAGACTGCATATGGGAAGTGCTCAGTAAATATTTTGCATGAACAAATGAATTAATAATTCACCTAAGTAATGGAGGAATTTACAAACGTAATATTAATTCTGCCAGATTTAGTACAAACAGCATTTTTCAATAAAGAGGCCAATGCATTTCTTTCCTGCTCTCCCTTTCATCATGGTATTTTATAGACCAGCTGGGTAGCTCAAGTATTGTTTCTATGTATTGAATGTAAAAGACGTTCTTTGAGTCATGATGGTGGGCAAGTGAACTTATTAAAACAACTCTCTGGCCTGGCCGGCATGGCTCAGTGGTTGAGCGGCAACCTGTGAACCAGGAGGTCACCAGGAGGTCATGGTTCGATTCCCTATTAGGGCACAGGCCCAGGTTGTGGGCTCGATCCCCATCGGGGGACAGTGCAGGAGGCAGCCCATCAATGATTCTCTCCCATCATTGATGTTTTTCTCTCTCTCTCCCACTTCCTTCCTCTGAAATCAATAGGAATTCCCAGCATCAATTCTGTTCTTTTTCAGTGTGTCTCTATCCTGCCTTTGCAAACAGCTCAGTTCTTTGTCCCATGACCGTCTACCACAATCACCCGCCTTACCCCCATTTCAGAGCATGCCCCTACCTGTCTTCTCATGCCTCAAAGCTGCTGAGATGAATGGAGACAACTGCACAATCAGAACACTGGGGCAGCTAAAAACGAACAGCCTGCAAACCTAACTGGACCTTCCATGCTGCTTAACCTCTCTTCTGGTATCCTTACACAGTTTCCTCTCCTACCCCCAGGGCAACTAGTCTAAACCCTTACTCCTCACGACCCCTTCTCACCTTCCTCTCATAAGCAACAACTCTGTCTGCCTTAAAGGGAAATTTTAGCTTGGCTGGTGTGGCTCAGTGGGTGAGCATCATCCCATGCCCCAGGAGGTCGCCAGTTCGATTCCCGGGTTGGGGCTCCATTCCCAGTGGGGGTCTGCAGGGGGCAGCCAATCGATGTTTTCTATCTCTCGCTCCCTCTCCCTTCCTCCCTGAAATCAATAAAAACATACTTTAAGAAGAATGAGAAAAAACATCAGGTGAAAATAGAGATAAGTCTTCTGAAATGAAGGGACAAGGTTCTCTGGGCGCACATGTACGGAGGAAGCTGTCCTGTGCGGTGGTGGCCTCTCCCCTAAGGCAATACCTGTGCCCTGAGAAGCCATCACCAGGTGAATCAGGATGCAGGGAGGGAAAAAGAGAGTGTTCCCAACGGAGGAAATCACATGTGCGGAGGCTTGGGTAACCTGAAGATGGAACTAGGGGTGGGATCTTTTGAGTGACAGCGGGAAGCTAGGCAAGGCTCCCAGGGAGATCTGGGTTCTTCTGTCTGTACTACAAAGTGGCCAAAAGAGAAAGTGACACGCCTTCTCTTGACCACACGTCTTCACTTACTACTACAGTAGTGCCTTGGCTTACGAGTTTAATTTGTTCCGAGACCAAGCTCGTTAGGGAGCTCAATGCAAAAAATTGGCCGAGAGACAGCTGGTATCTCAAAAAACTCGTGAGTCGGGACACTCGTAAGTCGGGGCCCCACTGTACTATAGTGAATTACAGAACTATATTGAAGATACAAATCCCTATGGAATGGGGAAGGGGGGGCAAGCCATATTAAAAACCGTGTGTAACAAACATCTCTCAATTTTCGGTCCGGGTTCCTTATCTCTCGCTCTGTAGTTGTGTGATCCTCAGCTCCCCTAACTGCTGGATGTGGGGAAAACTGGTTCGCTGTCCAGGTGGTCAGAGATCTGTCACAAATCCGCGCTCTCTCTCTCTCTCTCTCTCTCTTACATAAACTCCTCTGCTCCGTTCCCCTCATCTTCCCTCCTACCTGGGCCTGAGCAGTTCCTTATTTGGATAGTACTTTCTCGCTGGTGATGCCACATCTATTTATAATCCTCTCCCTCCAAGGCACTGACTCATTTTCTCTCTTTAAATTTGACCTTCTAACCTCCCCGCTTGCCTGTAACTTGGAAATCGTCTGGGTGGTGCATAGTATGAAGGACACGGGATGCCACATAATTACACTCTATTACCGTTTACGGTGTCAGCAGCCGGCAAGAAAATTGCACTTGACATGCCATTATTTTTGCTGGCCGTTTGCATGTGAGGAGCACCGGGCGACGCAGCCACAGCCAAATTGGACCTCCGGCCATGCGAGAACAATTCACTGTCAGGTCCGTGAGGCTTCCGCCTGCTCCGATGGAGCCTTGTGCACCAACAGTCTGGCAGGACTGCAAGTCAGCATCGTGTGTCTCAATCTGGCCCAGCAACTGGGGTTGTCTGCCTCTTGCCGGCGTCCCCACTTCAAAACAGCAGGCATCCCAGAGCTGCTGGAAATCTTTTGATGCTGATATAAATAAATGGAATAATATTAGTCTTGTAAGTCAGCAGAAATACACACACACACACACACACATACATGCACACACGTGTGCAGGCACACACTCAGTCTATTAGCTGAATTTCTACTTAAGTACATCCCCAGTCATTGCCTAATCGGGTCTTTCTGCAGCTCAGACCCTCACCCTGTTCACCTCATTCCCTACCGTGGACCAGGTGAGAGTATAGATAACCCGCGCTTACCTCTGTAGATGCCCTGAGAACTCAATCCATGCAGACTTCTCGGAAGAAGAGTCTTGCATTTTTTTTTTTTTTTTGCCAGGTCTCTTAGGGTCATCTCTTTGGGGCAGATGTTTTTCTATCCTACACCCAGCCACCAATTATTATTGGTTATGCTTCCACATATATCTTAAGTACACCCTTTCCCTCCATTTCCACTCCAGTCTGTCAGTCATACTTATTTTTTTTTTTTTTTTTGCCAGGTCTCTTAGGGTCATCTCTTTGAGGCAGATGTTTTTCTATCCTGAAGCCAAATGAGAGTCCTATGTTTCTGGGGGATTACGTAACCTTATTTTAGGAATCAATGGCAATAAGGTAGTCAGGAGGAAGGCAAAAGGAAATAGAGAACTGATTCCTGTCACAAATTGGAAGCCGAAGCTCACAGGGAAGAACTGGGCAGGCCAATGCTGCACATCTTGAAAGACTTGCATTGCGATGTCACGTGGCAGATTGGTGTGAATGGTTACAAGATTATTAAGATTTATGATAATTATAATTCAGATGGCAACTGAGTAAATATCAGAAGCAAGTTATAAAATGTATATAGATATGATTTCAAAATGCAAGAAAGATATGAACCGGGTACCTGGCACATATCTATTAAGATATGTATGTATGCATGAAAAATATATATATGTTCAAATATTTACAGAAAGAATGAACCTCCATGTACCCCTCACCAGGATCGTCCATATTCAACAATTTTCACTATTCTGCTATTTTTTAATTACCCACACACATGTAGTGCCAAATTTCTTGATTCTTAAAAATTAATGTAAGCAGAATCCCAGGTGCCTGGCACATATCTATTAAGATATGTATGTACGCATGAACAATATATATGTTCAAATTTTTACAGAAAGAATGAACCTCCATGTACCCCTCACCAGGACCGTCCATATTCAAGAATTTTTACTATTCTGCTATTTTTTAATTATCCACACACGTTAGTGCCAAATTTCTTGATTCTTAAATATTAATGTAAGCAGAATCCAAATTATATTCATAACCACTACATACTGATTTTGGTGTAAAAATAATCCCCAATTGAAAATAACAAAAGATCATAAATAAAACCCAAAGGTGTGATTATATCTAATGAATAAATGATATTCACTTAACCCACATTAAAAACAAAATAAGGAGTTAATTCCTGATATCGATTCATATTAATAACTGTACCACAAATCAATAAAGGGGAGCCTGTAAGAAAATGTATGAATCTATTAAAACTTTTTTCCAATATATGTGATTAGATTAGCAGGTCTTTTCTCTTTATCATTTTTTTGCCATTTATTTTCTAGAGTAGGCTCTAATTTCATTCAAAAACCTTATAAGATGAGAGTAAAATAAATGACAGTGGCATATTGTTCAATTTTCTTAAAAATCAATGCCATCTACATGGCAAATTCATGGGGTCCATTATTTAATGACTTAATGTGAAACTCATTTGGCAAATAGAATCTTTTTTTAAAAAAACTACACCTGTAATATGCAGTTGGAAGGCCAACCCCATCAATTAATAAATTAAAGTGCTGGAACATCTTATCATTTCTATGAGATTATGAAGAGAGAAAGAATGGCCACAGCCCTGCTGTGCCACTACAGGCATGTTAAACAACTTCCATCATCATGGGGTTGGCCAGGTAGTAACCAGAAGTGGAGATTTTAATTTTTGCCCGGAAACTATCTTTGGAAACTTTAATCTCATTATCCTGCATGTTGCTTGTAACCTTTCAATACATGAGAATAACCTAGAAAAGTTATTTATGGAATTATGTTATTTCAGAAAGATAAAAGTATTACAGTATTGGGCTGGGACCGGGTTGGCTCAGTGGATAGAGCGTCGGCCTGAGGACTGAAGGGTCCCAGGTTTGATTCCGGTCAAGGGCATGTACCTTGGTTGCGGGCACATCCCCATGGGGGGTGTGCAGGAGGCAGCTGATCGATGTTTCTCTCTCTAGAAACTAGAGAGTTTCTAACTCTCTATCTCTCTCCTTTCCTCTCTGTAAAAAATCAATAAAATATATTTTAAAATAAAAGTGTTACAGTATTGGCCGGGCTATGCATGTTTTCAAAACAGTCATTTCTTTTATATGTCAGCATTTTTTATCTATACATATCATTTCTGTTGCACTTATTTTTTTAATATATTTTTATTGATTTCAGAGAGGAAGAGAGAGAGAGAGAAACATCAATGATGAGAGAATCATTGATCGGTTGCCTCCTGCACGCCGCCTACCAGGGATCAAGCCCACAACCTGTGCCCTTCACCGGAATGGAACCCAGGACCCTTCTGTCCGCAGGCCGACACTCTATCCACTGAGCCAAACCAGCTAGAGCTCCATTTTACTTAAATTCACCCCCATACATACCTACACACCCACACACTTTGGCATCATGTGGTCATGTACCCTCCTGTTTCCAGCTAAATCTATATGTATTTTGAATACAGTGCAGACATCTTGTCAAAGATCCAGGTCTTCAGTAAAGATGTGATATCTTTTCTCATCAGCACTGGCTTCCTCACCTCACTTTTCAGAACGTGTCGATGTTACTCTGGGAGGAGTACAATGCACTCTGGGTATTATTCAAAGTGAGGGTCTGCAGGCCAGCAGCAGCTGGCAAGGATAGTTAGAAATGCAGAATTCCGTTCACTCCCCGCGTCCCCGACCTAGGGAATCAGAAGCTGCATTTTAGTAATGTCTCCTGTGCGAAGTAGAGCATTGAAATAAGCACGTACATTTTTAAAGAAATCAATCTGTCGCCAGTGAATTCCAGGAGAGCTTGAATCATGCTTTTTGCTCTCCGGATCCAGGCTGAGTGTGTTTTGAAAACCACTCAAAAGGAAGGGGTCATGGGCCCCGGTGTTTGGAAGAGCCCCGGGCAAGGTTTTTGGTAGATGGCAAGCTGCTTATCTCATTTGAACCCCGTGTGGCAGGTGTAGGGCACCACAGGCTGTGACATCAATTTGCAGAGGGAACTCCCGTCTATTGCAGAGGATGGTGGAGGCGAGTGAGCTCACAGGAACTGTTCCCTGCTCAGATCCATGAACTTCCTTTTCTTTCCTTTTTCTCCTGCATGCATTTACCACGAAGGGCAGGGATGCTCTGAAATCTGCAAAGTATCAAATGTCACTGGGGCCCTAGATGGTTTGGCTCAGTGGGTAGAGTGTCAGCCTGCGGACTGAGGGTCCCGGGTTTGATTCTGGTCAAAATGGGGCATGCGGGGGGCAGCCAATCAATAATTCTCTCATCATTGATGTTCCTATCTCTATCTCCCTCTCCCTTCCTCTCTGAAATTATCTATCTATCTATCTATCTATCTATCTATCTATCTATCTATCTATATTGTAAAATGTCACTGGGCTCCTGCAGGAGACAATAGCGGAATCCAGATAAGCCTGATCAGAGGGCTGAGAAATACTGGGGGAAACAGCAGGGTATAAAACACGAGCTGCATATATTTGTTTCTCTTTAATCCTAAAAAGCCCACTTGCGTGGCATAGATCTTTACTGCCTTGAATGTAGGGTGAAGACCATGAAATTGATGGCATTTTCCAGGGACATGAAAGTGATGGGGGTGGGGGAGGGGGCGAGAAAGGAGATCTTAAGTAACCAAAATAAACTGATTAGATCCATTCCATGTTTACTATAGAGTGGATACCTTATCAAGTTTGCTTGTTCACTTCTCCTAGCAATCCTCTGATGAGTGTGATTCCCATGGCCAGATCAGGAGAGCGGCCCTGGAGGGAAGAGTTATTTGCATTAGAGATGACAGGAAAATGGCGAAGCATAAAAGGTGAAGCCAGGGGGCAAACCTGGGCGTGGGGATCCCAGAGCCTGTTCCAGTAACCATGGCAACATCTCATCTCCTTGGAACCCCATGTGGGCGGTGCTCAGTGAGCTGGGCTGCCACCCCAACTTGTAGATAAGAAAAGACTCACTGAAGTGACCCAGGGTATGGTGTCTGACTATAGTGTATGTGGTTGGGTGAGATCTACTCAAACTGCCTGTCTAATGGCGAGGCCACTGCAGTGACTTCTTCGCGTGCTCCTCAGAGTCAGAGGTGGATGTAATCCCTTGGACCAGTGGTTCTCAACCTGTGGGTCGCGACCCCTTTGGCCGTCGAACGACCCTTTCACAGGGGTCGCCTAAGACCATCCTGCATATCAGATATTTACATTACGATCATAACAGTAGCAACATGACAGTGATGAAGTAGCAACGAAAATAATTTTATGGTTGGGTCATCACATGAGGAACTGTATTTAAAGGGCCAGAAGGTTAAGAACCACTGCTTTTGACAGAAGGAAAATGTCTCCGGGGCACCTGCCTGTGGTGACTTTTATCTCTGGGGGATGGAACTCTCACAGTCTGGGCCTGAGCAGGGCCAGTGCCATGGCCGAAGTGATCATTTGTGGAGTGGTCTCTAAATACAGGGCCTCGCACGGTATCTGTCTCCTTTGCTCTCTCATTTTAGAGTCTATATTTAAAATGAATATGATGATGAAGTAAGACAAAAATGATACCGAAGAAGAGACAGAAGGAGGAGAATTTTTTTAAATCCTCACCCCAGGATAGTTTTTTCCATTGATTTCTAGAGAAAGTGGAAGGGAAGAAGGTGGGGGGGTGGGGGAGAGAAACATCTATGTGAGAGAGACACGTCGATTGGTTGCTTCCTGCCGGGGCTGGGGACCCTGGATATGTGGAAACGGAGCTGGTGAACCTGTAACCAAAGTACAAGCCCTTGACCGGGAATCGAACCCGCCACCCTTTGGTCTGTGGGCTGACACTCTAACCATTGGATAAAACTGGCCAAGGCGAGGGGAATATTTTTATGGCACAGTCCAGGCACCTTGCTCTGTGCTTTCAACATATTTATGGAGTTATAGTCTCCACTTTTCAGACAGGAACATTGACACGTTGGACCAAAGTAAATGCTCACTGGTTAGGTGGGTAGGGGGAGATGATTCTGGCTTTTCTCTGAGTTGAGTAGGATTCTTGACTACTCTGACCTGTGGCCTTAACTTCGTTCCAGAAGCTTTGGCCACAACTGGGCGATTTTGTGGGTTCCTCTTAAATGGAGAGTCACCAGAACAGCAGCAAGGAGGGTGGCCCAGTTGAATGGAATGAACCAGAAGCCCCCTACACACAGACAGGAGCGTAAAGAAGGCAGAAAGCTTGTGCTCTCCAGTTTCTCAAACGAATCACGTTAATCCTGGATGATTTAGTGCCAAGTCCCAGGACACAGGGGAGCCGAGCTGGTGGACAACGTCCCAGATGCTTGAGAGTGGATCTCTCACACCGCTCCCTGCAGCAACTTCCCTGTGCCTCTTCCATCTCCCAGAGTCCTTTCCAAATGGACACGTGCCTTCCTGTTTCCTCTCTTCCTTCCTAGCTCTTATCATGGTGACCTTCCTCAGGACAGTCCTGGTCATGCCCTTGGCCACAGAGAATAACTCCCAGTCCCTTTCTTTAGCAGATTCTCCGAGGAAATGTGATTTGGTGAAGGAGCGAACATGGACATTACAAATGACTAAATCCTGTAACTCCTCAAACCAAGTCCGACACCCTAGCCACTCGGAGCCTTGATTTGGGATGTGGCAG